GGCCTGGATCGGTTCTCTCCCACGACGTTCATGAGGTGATAGAGCTAAGCTAAACATGACAGCGCCGACTCACCCATCATGCTGAAGTGCCTCGGGTGGAAGCCATCGGGCAGCACGTGAAATTGGGAAACCTCGAGCTGATGTATCTCAAAATCTCTCCAGAGATGGGGCCAGGGACTTCGATGGGGAACTGCGGAGCCGAGCAGGGAGACCACTGGAGAAACACTCTGCACTAGCAACGACCTCCTCGTGTGCAGGCTCACTTGCACGAGGAAAATAGCGAACGCTTGCGTGCATCCGTTGCTAAGAGTTTCGTCGCACCATGCCTTCCGGGACTCCTGGGAACGATTTGGGTCTTCAAGCTGGCCTTGGCGGACCCAAGGCTCCAAAAACTCGTGGCCCTTGTCCCTGATGGATTTGGGTGTTTCGTGGTCATGTGGATGCGTCACTCGCTCAGCAATCGACGCCAGGAACGGACGCCAGAAGCTACATCCCTTCCTCCAAAACCTGCGAAACGGGCCTCCCCTCGTTGGGAGATCGCGCCATTGCTGAAATAATCGGTCTCGGTACTCTTGCTTCGCGTCCTTGCCGGACAGGGTCATCAGCTCCTTGCAACGTAGACTCGCCCACTGGATGGCACGACCTGGACAAGCAGATGTCCTCTTGTTCGTGGCCAGAAGAGCGAACGCCCGAATAGACTCGAGCTGAAACGGCGACCCGCCTGGTAGACCTCCTCCTTTGGCCTGCGTGGCACACGCACAACCGTACTCCAACCCCATCGGGAACCAATGCTGGCAGATTCCGTTGAACAGGTGAACCCCGCGATCCTTCTCGGCCCCTCGGGCCATAACAATATCCCCAAACTCCCCAAAACGAGGCCCCAAGAAGTCCGCGAGCGTGCTCTCAAGATCCGAGGAGTCCCTGTTATGGTAGCTTTGGGCCGATGGCTTGCCCCGCAGGAGCCTAAAGGTAGCTTTGGGCACACTGACAGTGATGTCTGTGATGGCCTGCATGAGGGTGATGCTGACGGGCCTGTGGGGGCTGAAAGGGGGCCTTGATGTCTGTCTCCTCCTTCGGGATGACATGATCAAGGTCCCTGTGGGCCACGAAGTACTCCAGCGTGGAGGCGAAACCTGGACCCACATAGGTCGGCACTGTGGGAGCCCCGAGCGCAGCACCTGCTTGACTCATCGGGGGCCCGTCGACGAAGCTTGTCGGGGCCATGTCGAAGTCCCCGGCCAAAACGCACAAGAGCAGATGTTGGAACGCGTCGCCCCAGACAACATTCAGAGTTTTCCCCCTCGAGGCCCACCGAACCCCCAAGGCGCACGGAATGAATGGCGAAGAGACCCAGCTCGGTGTTCCGAAAGAAGCTCCTCCTCCTCCTCCTCCTCCTCACTCCCTCCCCCCCCAAACCTCCCCCCACCCCCCTCCTCCTCCTCCTCCACTCCTCCTCTCCTCCTCCTCATCCTCCTCCTCCTCCTCTCCTCCTCCTCCTCCTCCTACTCATTCGTCTTGCCCCCGTCCTCCTCGTTCTCCTCCTCATCCACCTCCTCTCCCCTTCATCGCATTACTCCTCTTCCTCCTCCTCCTCCTCCTCCTCCTCCTCCTCGCCCCCCCTGCTTGGATAGCAGGGGCCCCGTCATCGACTCGGGGATAGCCGGGGCACCCCCGCCAGCGGAGCTGGTGGGCGGTCGGCGCCGCCTGTATCGGCGGGGTAGAAGTGGAGCCGGCGACCGCCTGGAGGACTGGCGGAGGCGGGAGGGGTCGCCCCCCCGGGGGAGGGGGGTTGGCCGCGGTGGGACTGTGCCCCTTCCCTCCTCTTTTCTCCTGGCTCCTCCCTCCTCCCCCCTCGCCCTCTCCTCTTCTCTCCTCCCCCCGGGGTTCACAGTGTCGCTGCGGTCCACTCCCCCGCTGGGGCTGGGCCGGAGGAGACCGCGGCGGCGCGCGGAGCGCGCTGCCGCGGCGGGTGAGCCCGGAACGCCCACGCCGTGCTGGAACGCGGCCAGTGCTCGGCGCCAGAATCGCAGTGATTAATTTTTCAGCTGCTAAGTTTTAAGGGGCCCTTTTGCCCAGGGAAAGCCTGGAATAGGGGTGGCTTCATTATCGACGGCTGTGCTCTCGTGCTCATGGCACAGTTGAGCGGCAAGCAAAATCCAAGCAAAATCCTCCTCCTCCTCCTCCTCCTCCTCCTCCTCCTCGCCAGACGTCGGCGGCAGCGGGCCATGAGTGCAAGAGGCACTGGATGGTCGCGGCGCTGGCGGGCGCTCAGCGCGGCGGGAGCCTGGGCGGGGACGCTGCGGGGCGAATTGTACACGAGCGGGCGGTCGGGCAGAAGAGGGCGGCCATGGAGGAGGGCTGCAGGAGAAGTAGCGTCTGGCGGCGCGCAGATGGGGGTAGGGGGAGGGGGAAGGGCTTCTTAGAAGGAGGCTGCTTCTGAGAAGGCGCCAGCCTCACATCTAGAAAGAAGGCCCGCGCCTTCCAAGAAGCCAGGGTGCTTCTATAAGAAGCCTTCCCCCCTCCCCCTACTCCCCTCTGCGCGTGGCCGAAGCGTGCCGCAGAAAAGAATTCTGCGAGACGGTCGGGCATGGAGAGTACTCGAACCCGGAGCCATCGACCAGCTCGAAGCAGCGACGGCCGATTTGACACGTCGACCCCACATCCTGGCCATCGTTGTGCGCACAGTGAACGCTGGGGTGCTCACAGCCCAGCGGCACACGAGCCGCCAGGGTTACAGTCGGGGGCTTGACCTAAGGAAACCCACAATAAGGAACGAGGCCCCTCTTTTCCATGAGTGAAACTTCGATTTCCGATCGAAGACACAAGGAAAACCCGAGGCAAGCTGCGACACACGCAAGGAACGCAGAGCCCCTCCCCAACGAAAAGGGCTTCCTTCTTCAGGGCCCCGACTGTAGAGGAAGAACAACCTGCATAGACGTCAGCATGGGAGGAGGAGGAGGAGGAGGAGGAGGAGGAGGAGGAGGAGGAGGAGGAGGAAATCCGCGCGGGGCTCCGCAAGGTTGCAAGAAGATGAGCAGTTCAAGGCTGGTGCTGCGCCGACCCGGAAAATCCACGCGGAGCTGGTAGCAAGAAGATGAGCCGTTCAAGACTGCTGCTGCTTCAGATGCAGCCGGACCTAGGACTGAAGAGCATCATCCAAGAACATGAGACCCACCGCCGGCCAAAACAACCCAAAACTTTTCAAATCATTCGAGCGTACCCTCCCCCAGGATGCACAAGAACATCCAACAAGCACGAAGAATATTCGGGCACCCTCCCCGAACCAATCTCGATCTTACACTTCGGTCCGAGTGTACGGTTGCTGCTGCTGTCTTTCCACCAACACTTACTCCTTCGGATCTACCGCCAACGAGGGCGCAGAGAGGAATCCAGATCTCCGCACATGTTCAGCGCTGGGCCTTTTGTTTGTGAATCATCGCTCCCCTGACACCCTCGTCCATTTCCTGCTCCTCTTCCTCTTAAATTTTTCCTTTTCCTCTCCCTGTTCCCTTTCCTCTTCCTCATATTATTATTAGTATTATTCATCATCCTCATCAGCATCACAATCATTATCATAATCATCGGCATCAGCATCATAACCATAATCAGCGTCATCATCATCATCATCATCATCATCATCATCATCATCATCATCATCATCATCATCATCATCATCATCATCATCAATATCATGATCATCATCATCATCACCATCAGCATCATCATCACCGTCGCCATCATCATCATCACCATGATCGGCATCATCATTAGCAGCAGCATCAGCATCAGCATCAACATAATCAGCATCAGCCATCATCATCCCCACCATCATCATCATTATCAGCATCGTCATCATCATCATCATCATCATCATCATCATCATCATCATCATCATCATCATACTTGTCATCACCACCACCACCACCATTATCATCATCATCACCATGATCGGCAACATCATCAGAGTCACCACCATCAACACAAGCATCAGCATCATCATCATCATCATCACCAGCACCATCGCCAACATCATCATCAGTATCACCATTATTCCAACAATCATGTTCGTCCATGTTATATGATCCGCATCATTCGCCTCCGCCTTTCTCTCCTTCTCATCCTCTTCCTCATGTTCCCCTGCTAGAACCCACGCCAAGCACATGCATCCTGTCACCGCGGGACCATGTTACCGGTCTCTTTCAGGATACAATCGTCGCACTCGAAATCTACCTTCAGCTCCCCAGACTCCTCCGCCAGCGGCGCGAGGATCCAGATTTCAGATCGAGGGGAAGATTGTGTCAGTAATGCTGCTGCAGATGCTTATGACGCTGCTGATGTCGATGATGCTGACGCTGATGCTGATGGTGTTGCACATGTTGCTGATGATGATAGTAACGATGATGATGATGATGATGATGATGATGATGATGATGATGATGATGATGATGATGATGATGATGATGATGATGATGATGATGATGATGATGATGACACATCCTGCGCACAACGCCACGCGCAACTGAGGGGAGGAGAAGGAGGAGGAGGAAGAGGAGGAGGAGGAGAAGGGGGGGAGGAGGGGGAGGAGTGGGGAGGCGGAGGACGGGTGGCGTCGGGACGCCGAGGAGGAGGAGGAGGAGGGAGGGGGGTGGGGAGGGGAGCGTGGAAGAGGAGCAGGGAGGAACGGGCGGGGAGGGGGAAGAGGAGGAGGAGGAGGAGGAGAGCTGCGGCAGGAGGCCGGGCAACACGTCGGGGCGCCGCGCGGCAGGCAGACGGTCCTTCAGCAGCTTGAAGTCGTTCTCGTAGCCGTCCTCCGGTCGCCGACGCCGACGCCGCCGACGACGACGACGACTACGCCAACGACGCCGACGCCGCCGCCGCCGCCGCCGACGACGAAGAAGAAGAAGACAACGACGCCGACGCCGACGCCCACAACGACGACGACGACGACCACCACGACGACGACGCTTGACGAGGAGGCGCACGGACATGGAGGGAGGGGG